CGGACACAACTTGTGCCAAATGTGTGCAATGCGATGCGTAGGTGAGAGATGATGAAGATGACGAAAATGAGGAGGAGGAGGAAAGAGTGGACACCAATCATACTGAATTGTTGCGGTCAAATCCTCTTTCACTCAGGTGCACCATCTCGTGATGTGATGCATCTCGCACCTGCACACGACACTGTTGTTGCCGATTTGTCACCCAACACCGAACCAATTTACTGACAAACAACTGCGACTTAACACTCACCCGCATTGCAATGCGAGGCTGTCGACCTCGATGGCGCCTTTTCACTGTGCATTTGGTAAGTCGGCTGTGGAGCAGTGCGACGCGATGTCGACTGCCTTCAATGCGCTATTGACGATCACTTCTCCCCTCCCCTCCCCTCCCCTCCCCAACCTCCTCAATCCACTTAAAAAGGCACGACATGGAGGCGGAATCATCGTCTTCTCCTCCTCCTCCTCCTCCTTTCTCAACCCTCTCCGTCGCCAGTTTGATTCTGCCGTTGACGAAGGTGTGAGCACAAGAATTCGTTATTTGTGGACTGATTTTTGTGAGGACCTTCACCTCTTGCTCAACTTGTCACAGTCGGTTTTGCATGCTTTGGTGGCAATTTGACGGAGTGGTTGGAGTTCCCCAATGAATTGTCGTGCACTGTTGTGTATGCTGACAATGCATGCAAAGTGGAGAAGTGCGTTGCCGCTCGACTTGGGTCTCCACACTTCGCAGAGTAGTGTGCTCCTGGATCGGTTCTACTCAACTTATCTGCATTCAATGGAGGACTCCGCTGTGAATCCCTTTTTTGCTCAATGGTTTGATGAGAGTTTGACTGATTTTTTAAGGCCTCCGAAACTGTGTTTACTCTCACTCTCATGTCTACCTTCTAATGGCACTGCTTCTATTTTCCTCTCCTTACAACCATCATGTCGTTTTCCCTGGAACGCGGTGGCCGCCTACAGATCTCATTTCCTTGTTTGAGGAAATATTTTGGCCTTGAGAGGAGGCTATGCCAGTCTTTTGGCTATCCTTTGTATGAATTTTGATGCTTCTTCCCTTTACTGTCCTCTTCTTATTCACTCTTTTCTAGCTACACCAAGTGGTGGCATGGCGAGTCTGGTCTTCGACATCAGTTGAACCTCACAGCTGCCTGCAACTCCGTATGCCGAGTGCGAGATTACAATAATCGCTTTGGTGACTGGTTTTCCTGTCCACAAGCTTCTGACTACAACCCCGTGTGTTGGGAGTCCTCCTCTTCACCTCTCCCGGGGAATGGGGACGCGAAGATTCAGATGTCTTTCCTTAATCCCTGTCTCGCTGGCTGTGCCTCCCAGGGCTTTCACACTGAACCTGATGGCAAAGTCGTGGAGGTGGGCGCTGATTTGCGATCTTTTTCCACCTCACATTTGCCTTGCAATTTTACTTGAGTCAAGTGGAAATGGTGTACTAGTAACTTTCATTTCTGCTTCACTTCCTACTAATCTCTCACCTAGCTGATGCGTAACCTCAAGTTGTTCTCCCACGTTCCAGCTCAGTGACAACACAACTTTCAACTACAGATTCTGTTGAATGCGTTGGCACATTGTTCTGCTGTCACTTCTTCTCCAAACCTTAGTGCATGCCTGATAGGAAGCAATGTCTTGTAAACACAACTTCGAAATCGAGTTGCTCTTGATTTGCAAAGCTCACTTAATAGACTCGCTAGCGTTCTTTTTATGCTTTATTTTGGACAAAAGGGGATACGAAAAGGCACTGATGCATTAACCAAACGTCAATACTTTGCAAACCCTTGCAACTTACACCAGTCCATTGGTCGGAGGTCAGTCGTAGGTTTTATGCTTGCTCTTTAAATAACTTTGGATGTCACTTTTGACATGCTCATCAGTCACTCTGTCATCTTGTTTAGACTTCCGACGATAGTTGAACTTGAAGCTGTTTTTCATGGGGATCATTGAAACTGTACCGCTTTATCTATCCATCACTCTAATCAATGCGGGATTTGTGCCCATTTTATTCTTGTTGCTACTTTCTTGGTCGATTGTTGTGGCCTTACTGTTGTTTACGATTCGTGTAAGCAGTGCAAATGACTGCACCTTATTTATGCTCAAGGCTCACAAGCTGTAGGCCTATTGCTTTTGTCTATCCCGAAATAGAATGCAAAATTGGTATTTTTAGCAACTGATAAGATATGTGTCTCCTTGCGTCTAACTATTCCTAGCAGATGCTGTAGAGTTAGAGGTTGAAGTAGATTCATTCAGACGAAAGTCCCCTTCGAAATGCTAGCAAAGCCGATTCCATTTTCAACAGGATGTAATGGATTTCGTGTATATCCCGTTAACAATTTCATTCTGTTTCTTAAAACATCATTAGAAGGACGAATTTTGGATTGCGATTTATCTGGCAACGTTTTGGATAGGTCAACGAATTGTGATGCAGCTTAGCGTTGTCGTTTTGCCGTCTGAAACGATCACTGAAGACTTCTCATTGCCTCTGCTACGACTTTAGTTATTTGTTACTGATTTAATTTAAGTAGCAATGTTTCTACCGTCCTGATTAGATTTACACCGACTGTAATTGCGTTACCAACACCAGCCTTGTACCAGAGGGCGTTCATTCTCTCGGGGGCAGTGCTTTACGTGGGACCACCAAAAAGGGCGTCTGTAGACCCCAATGTCTCCGATATGCACCCTTTCTTATCGTTACTTTCCTCACAATCTTCCTCACCAGTGTAAATCAAAATCCCAGCAATGTGATCACTCTGAGGTAAGTTTTGCGTCCTTTTTGGTCGCCCTTTTTTTGGAACTGGACAACCTCATGCTGTTTGTAAAGATGTTTCGTTTGTACTGTATGCCTTCTACTTAAAGTTTGGAGCTTTGGATACCTGATTTACCACGATTGTTTCTTCTTTGGATTAAATGTTCCACTTTATTAATGGATCTTTGCCCGTAAATGACAGTAAGGCGTAAAACATCGGCAAGCATGGGTAGTCGTTGCTGTTGTTGTTACGTCAGTATGGTTTCATTGTTTGTACAGTTGGTGGGACATGAAATAGTACTCCTCCAACCGCGATTCTGACTGTTTATGCGGGCCTACCTTCAATTATTCGCATTACCGGGCTTAATTTATTCTGTTAATGTCGGGCCCATAGGATCCTTTCTGTCCAAAACGTTTGCATTTCTCGCTAAAAATAATTTAACATTAATATAAGTTGTCAACCCTTGCGATTAATTGGGCCAAGAGACCTTTGCCTAAATAGCATAAAAGTGGTGACTTTATGAAAGTGTGCCTTGGATGTCAGTTCATCATTCTTGAGGTCCACTTATCAAATATCATATTACATAACTGCTGCTCTCTTTGTCAGGATTTCCAGTCATGAACTTTTTATGTTGGCTGTTAGTTGCGTGGCTCCAGAGGATGGAACGGCAGCACTCGGTCTTCAAGTCTTCTTTTCTCGAACCCTGGGTTAGTCGCTATATTTACGTTCCTTTCAAGACGCTGTTAAATTCACTTCGCATTCCTGTTCAATTTTCATCACTTTCATCTATCAGTTCTCTCATTCATCTGGTAACTACAATGCTTCAATGATTGACTTCCTTTAACCTGTGCCAGCCTTCATTCCGACTCCCATCTACTTCGGTGCCCTGATGGATCGCACGTGCCGTGTACGAGCGTTGCCACAACGGGTGATTTGCGAATCGCAACAGCACCACCTCCTCCTCCTGTCGGCGATGAAACTGGCCCCATTGGAGGGCGCCTGCTTGGAGTACGACGTGCACGCTCTCCCCTTCGCATGGCTTGGCGGAGTGACAGTCTTCAAGTGTCTCAGCATCCTTATTGCCATTCTCACCTGGCGCTACTCCTGGTAGGCTATAAATTCTTGAGGGTGTTTGCTTGATTAGTGGACGAAAGCCTCACGATCCAGTACGTAGATGAGTGGGTGAATGTAAGGAATGGCAAATTGATAGGTGCGTCGATGAATGGGTGAACAGACAAGTTGTTAAGTGAGTGGATTGATGCTCCAAACTTTGAAATTTTTTGATTTTTTTTTCACTACAGCCGTTTGGATGCACAAAAAGGGAGAAACAAACCGGTTCTTGCGGAAACAGACGAATCGCAGCTCTCCGAAATTCCCAGAGGATGACAGAATGCCTCTGGAGAACTGCACAGTCATAAGTTTCCTTTGCACAATTTTCCCCT